GAGGACGGGGCGCGATTGCCCGGGAAGGGTGTCGGCCCCGTGCGGGGGGCCCCAAGTACTGACCCAGGGACTGAGAGGGCCTACGCGGACCCGCGGCACCCGAGCGCCTCCGCCTCGCAGGAAACTGCCTTTCTGGTCTCGTGGGGAAAAGTGCTTCTTGCCAAATTTCACACCCTCCTTCCATTTTGCCATAGATGTCGTCTGTCCCCTATTACTTCTAAGATCCCCTTTTTAATGAACGAGACCAACCTTTTCTAACAGCTTGCAAATATTTCTCTTGTTTATTATTTGCTTTTCAGCATTTTAGTAGAAAATAATATGCAGTGACTTTTTTTGTAAAATACAAGCTCGTCAGAAAAATATGAAAAGTGAAAGTCACCCTCCGCGACAGACTGCCCGTGTGCGTGGAGGACGCTGGCTGGTTTGCTTTGTGTCCTTTCCGGGTCTTAGTGCCTTTCCGTTTTTAACCGAAAAGGGAAGCTCGGGGTGGGGGCGCGGTCGCTCTTCCCGGTGACGCCTGTGAGGTTTCGCTGCCGCATTCTCTCGGCCGTGCGTTCCACCGGCTTTGACACCCGGTCCCTTGTGGGGCGACTCGCCGGTGGAGTGAAGTCGAGGCTGGAGTCTTAGCGTCATTTCCCCGAGTTCTTGCCAGATCAGTGTTTTAATAACCCACCCCGACGTTTGATGAGGTCGAAACTCTTCGTGTGTTTTAGCCTTTGTGTTTTCTTTGTGATCTGCCACTTCTTGTATTCCATATGTGTTGAAAATATTCTCAAATGGTTGTTTGACTCTGGTTATGGTGTTTTGTCCTGGGTTGGGGTTTTAGAAATAGAAGCGTTCAAATTTTTAATGGCCAGATATTTAGTTATGTTTTAAAGGGCTTTCCCCACTCCCAAGATTATTCTTAAAATAAACTCTTGTTTTCTGTGATACTTATAAAATGTTGGACCATCTGGAATTTATTCTGGTGCAGAGTGAAGGGAATCCAGCTTTTTTCCCCCTCTAAATCATGCTGTTTCCAAGACTACTTATTAAATAATTCATCTTTCCATTGCCTTGGAAAACCACCTTTGTCGTGTATTAAATTCTTACATGTCTTTGGGCCCATTTCTGGCGTTTGTGGTGGCTATGATTTACATAAGATTTTGGTTTTCATGCTGCAGACCTGTGGGTCTCTGCCCCCAAGCTTCCTGCTTTTGGTATTTGGCTTAGAAAGTCCCTTCCTACCTAAATTAATGAAAAATTGTGTGTATTTTTATTCAAGTTCATCTTATGATGTAAGTTAAATTTTAACTCATTCATTAGTTTGACCGATGGATTCATTAGACTTTCGGTGTGTAGTATGAGATGATCTAAGTTTTTGTCCTAGTTTTCATCACTTTGCCTTTACTTTACTTTCTGGGAGATTTGTTGAGCTTTGTGTAAAGGTCTGATTTTATTTTTTCCCAGAACATTTAACCCATTGTCCTAGCACCGTTTGCTGAATCATCTTTTCCCCAGAGATTTGAATCATGGACTTGGCCCTGGCTCTCTGTTCTTGAGCCTGCCTCTGCATCCAGGCCCACCTGCCTCCAGGCCGCGGCTTTGTGGAGACAGAGGGCAGAATTGACATCACATTTCTAAGTTTATTCCAAGTTCGTTTCTTGTCGTCATTTGTGACTAGAATTTTCCCTGTATTTTCTGCTTGGGCGTGGCTGGTATAGGAAAGCTGGCGGTTTGGGTGCGTATTTGTGGCCACTTACTCCAAAAGGTTGCATAATTGTGCTTTCTGGAGATGCTTTCACCTTAGAGGACAGAGCGTTCCAGCAGGAACACCCTGGGGTGCAGATGGCGGGGCTGGAAGGAAGGGAGATCCTGGGAGCCACCCAACCCAGACCAGGGACTCTGAGGGTGTCTGTCACAGCTGTCACCATGGGCGGGGTCTTTGGAAGGACTGACATGCTTGAATTCCAACAAGGGTGGCAATAAGTTCCTAAAGCTTAGCTTACAGAACAAGTTCATAGTAATAAATTCTTAGTTTAACTCTAAGCGCTTTGCATCTCTGCAGTCCCTTTTTTAGATCTTTTCCTTGCTGGCCGGCCACTCAGTCACCTTTGAGACCCCACTTGGCAGAGCGTCTCATTGAAATGTACTTCCTTCCCATTTTCTCTAAGTGTTTGGGTTATTCTCTTGGTAAATTTCCAAACTATGAAACTCCTGCCTGCATCTGAAGAATGACTGGAATTGACGGGTGGATGGGTGGCTGATGCAGGCACCCAGGGGGTGGGGGGGTGCTGTTGGTGCTTGCCTCAGTGCTGGGGTGTAATGGCTCCTCAAAGTCCTTCCTGACACTCGTGTAGTGATTCCTGCTCTGGGGGACATCTGGACAAGACTCGTCATGCCTACCTGTTCTCTTCTGTCTAAACGTCCGTGTTTTTCCCTGGGAGCACAGCCTGGAGTTGGGCATCAGAATCATGGGGGCAGTGAGTAGGCTGGCTTGTTAAAGCCAGTCTTGGTGCGCAGATGGCTCTGTGCTTTCCTGCGGCGGTTTCTGTGTGAGGCCCGCGGTGCTTTGCATGTTTTTGCATCCGGTAAAAGACTTATTGCAGGAGATCCAGATCTTATCTACCAAAGTACAAGTAAGAGAAATTTAAAACTAGTCATTACCACTTTTTACATTTGTTTCGTTCATTTTTTTATTGAAATACAGGTGTCTTGGTCTGTTTGGGCTGCTGTAACATAGTGCCACAGATTGGGTGACCACAAAACAGGCATTTACTGCTCCCAGTTCTGGAGCCTGCAAGGCTGCAGTGCCGGCGCAGTCAAGTGTGGGCCCTCCTGGCTGCAGACTTCTCCCTGGGTCCTCATGTGGCAGAAGGAGCAGGGAGCTCTCTGGGGTCTTTCATAAGGGCAGCAGCCCAGCCTCCCAAAGGTCCCTCTTCCTAACGCCATCACATTGGGCATTAGGATTTCACCATATGAATTTGGAGGACACAAACATTCAGAGTGCGGCAAGCAATGTACTTTGTGACATGCTTGTCTTACTTGGCAATATGTACAGGTGGCCCCTAGGTAGAAACCTCTTGTTTTTAATGCTTTCTAGGACTCACCCATGACAG